TGCAGAACAAACTGTGATCCCATGAGTCACAGAGCTTTGGTTTCCTTCCCTGGCAGCTGTCAGTGCCGGTGAGATCCCAAGTGAGTTTGGATATCTCTCAGCCCTCTTTGGCCCTGGAAGCTAAAACCTCTGGGAAGTTTTTGGAATCTGCTTTACACATACAGGATAGAGGAAAAGAGCAGTATGACAAAATACTCATGAGGGCACGCAGGGAAATGCTGATATGAGAAAGGAGGAGGGCTGACAGGCAGCTTCCTTTTCAGGGTGATTGCACAAAACCTCTACAGCCTCCACTTTTGTTTGATTCATTAAAATAGTTCTTCCTGTATCTAGTTATTTACATATTAACAGGAATAATATTACTCATATCTGTGATGATAATGACTACCCAACAGATGTACTAAGATAAAAGTATTTTTTCTGATGCTTTAAAGTAAGAACCATATATGTATTCTTAGCATTAAAGTTATCAGATTGTAGCCAACACGTATACAGAAAGCACCATCTGTCATGGATGAGCAAACATGAGAAAGCTGGATTTTCCTGCCTTGTCCTGCTTTGGCATGCCTGTCCTGGCCTTTCATCTGTCAGCAGCGACCACTCATAAGCTCTGTGCTGACATCAGCCAGGGAAATTTGTTCTCCATAGCTCTTTAAAGCGGGGAGGTCTGCTTATTGCTGTACTGGATCACTGGTGATATAAAAACTCAAATCCCTTGAGATCTGCTCAGGATCTCCTGGCTGGTACCCCATGTCAGCTCACATCATCTCTCCTACAGGCATCACTTGTATGGCTCCTCAGCAGAGACCAGTCACATCCATTTCTTCACATATCCCCTAGAATGACATTTTAGTGAACTACGTTCCTAATGCTGTTCTTCCTTGGTTTTGTGATGTCTACTATTTTTTCTTTTTCTAGTGTGAAAGAACAGATTTGATTGCTTATGAACGAGAAGAAGCAGCACAATGGCAGACAACGTAGGCAATTCACTGCCATGATAAAGTAAATACAACCCACAGTGCATAGGTCAAAGGGAATTCCAAAATCATCATGCTTCTCCTTGCTACTTTATTGTGGCAATTTATTGTTGTTTTATTTGTTGCTGTTATTGCAGCAACATTATTTTTGTACTCTCTCTGACTCAATTCTTTACTAATGCACAGACAGTATTACATTATATTATATTCCTCAGCTTTCCCTTCTTTAGACAGAGAAAAGCATGGCGCTAACTACTCCACTTATATTATTTTTAAAATTTATTCTTAATATATTCTCTAGACATAACATTCCCAATAGCCTTTTGCTCTTTCAGCTCACATTTATTTTTCTTGAACTTGTAATTCCTACTGTACACAGAAGTACAGATGATATCTCATTGCTGTCTAATGCAGTGGTATTAATATTTCTCCATTTCTGCTAAACGAACTAATGTTTAAGGATTTCATTTGCACTTTTCACAGCCTCATCAGACTGGCAACCTATCATAATCAAGATGATAACTAATTTTAATAATATTTTCCCTTTGTCCTTTTGCATAGTCTCCCTGGTTTATAGCAGAAAATCTTGTGAATTGTCTGGACGTGCATTATTCCTGCTTTTCAAGCTTTTGCATGTAATTTCATTTCAATTATGTGAGCCTGCAAAATCATGAATTTTTTTCACTCAAGATATTCAAATCCTTGTAGCTAAATGTCTTTAGCACATTTCAATAGCACACTCACTTTGCATCAAATATATTGGTGCAAATGTTAAATAAGATCAGGCCTAAGATGTAACCTTGAAAAACTTTGGTCATAACCTCCCTCCAAGCAACAGCCCTCTTTTCACTAGCCTGGTCTTCTGTTCATCTGCTCTCTTCTCCTTTACGTTTCCCATCTCTGTGCTGATTTGTACTAATGGTTTCCAATGCAACAAAATATCATAAGCTTTATAGGATCAATACATATATCTCTTTGTCTGAAAAACCAATCCCATCAAAAAAAAAGGTACCACATATAATACACCTTTGGTAAACCAGTAGTATTTTTAATAGTATTTTCCATTCTTTTCCATATTTTTGATGTTTCTTACCTTTAAATTCTGTTTTAAAGCCCTTATCTGTCAGAGATCATGACACTTATCCACCAGAATGATGATCCATCCTAGCACAGACTACCTTCCCATTTTCCTGGAAAATACATCATGAAGGGCCCGGGTTGTTACTCTCTATTTCAATAATACCATCTCTGAGATGGGAAAAAGTGCTGAAGATCCTTGCTACTGGCCCTGCAGTTGTACATCCATATTCTTTGTGGATGATGGGCTTTAGCCCAGGTGCTCTGTCCTTTTTGACCTGAGCACTGAATTTTGCTTTCCTTGTTCTTGTTGCAATACTAACTTTAATTGGTGGTGCTCCTCTGCCTCCTGGATTTTTATCAACCTTCCTATTGAAGGTACATTAAGCAGGGTCACCAAGTTTGTGCACGGTGACAACAGCTCAGTGTCTCCCACTGCAGCTGAACAGACACCATCAGAATCCCCCCAGTCAATTCCCTTCGTGGGACTTGGGTTCCTGGCCCTCCACATCACTTTCCTGCAGAGGTCACTAACTCCTGTTTTTCCATACTTTGGATGTCTCGATAATCTTGCACTGAGTCAGATGTGTTTGTTTTTCTGATAGAAATACCCCAGCCCACAGATAAAGAGCCAAATTTCTCCACAGAGTCAGTCAGATTGTGTCGGAATCTGTGGGTATTGCTGATTCCGAGATTGTAGAAAGTCTCTGTCTTTCTGCCCCGTTGCCAAAGAAGAAGCCATAATTTGTCTGTGCTGGTTTCAAGGTTGTTTATTCTTGCTTATCTCTAACATGTTCTGCTGCCCTGCCGCAGGTCTGTCCTGCAGGGCAGCGTGTGGGGCTCTGCCCCTCAGTAGGATGTTACAAACATTATACCAGAAATTATGTGTGCTATATTTACAATAATGTGCCAATTTCTATAATCTATGTTAAACAGTGTGTCCCCAGCCTAAACCAATAGAAAAATGCCAACACTACAGTGAAACATGGAGGGCATGAAGAAGGAGCAAAAGGACAAGACACACCCAATTTCCTCCATCTTGTCCCCTCTGAACCCCTAATCTAGAAACCTAAAATTTTACTTTTGCACCTGTGTCACACTTAATTATTACTCTTATCAAACACTCAAAGCTTGTAATTCATCCTGTAAGATTGAAAACTCCTCTCCATGGACAGAGATCACAGACAGTGTCTCTCGGGGCTCTGTACAGGGGGGTTCCTGACCCCTGCCAGGGTCCCAGACCTGCCAGGGCAGCCAGAGGGAAGCCCTGGATTCCGACAAGATTGCCCTAGGCAGGATTCTTAATGGGCCTCATCTCTTCTCAGATAAGCTGTGTTTTCCCCATGTTTATGCTTCTGTTCAGAAGCTGCCATACCTCCGTTCAGATGGGGCATAGGTATACAAATATTCGAATTTACAAAATATTTTTCTACTAACAAGTAAAACAAATTTTTACCTTTGTTCTTCAGATGATATGGGTGTTTTTTTTGTAAGCTCTGAAGTGACTATTCCTGTCAATTGAGAGATCCCTCAGGATCTTTCAGGATGTTGCAGGGAATATGGATGGTTTGTGATGCTTCCACACAGTTGTACTGCAATAGGTTTATGTGCTCTCTTACTGAGAAGCAACTGTCCAGACTCCTGTGCTTTTTACCACTGGAATGCTCAGAGTCACACACATTTTATCTCCCACCTGCACAGCAGAAAGGAATGACAAAATAGAAGTCCTGAAATGTACCTAACTGTGTCTCCTTGTCATCCCCATTTTAAAATTAATCAATTTGTTTTGCTGTTGTCTTTGGTTTTGCAATTTGTTTTTGTCTTGGATTTCTAGACAGGTCTGTGCATGATCCTTTTGGCCATATCAGAAAAGTATCAAGGTTTGTAGAAGTAAAAATATACACTACTGACCAAAAAGCTGTCAAGTTTTGACAAATATGTATTCTGGTCCAAAGAGTGAAGATCTGATTTACCAGAACTCTGCTGTTAAGTTGTGATAGCACATCCTACTCCTTTCACAAGGAGAGCAGGGTCTCTCTCAGCCTGCTGGCAGGGGTGTTGATGTGTATTTGCATTGGCCCTTCTCTTTTGGGGGTAGAGGCAGAAGATCCAGTCAGGAGGGCTGAAGAAATAGTGGGATGTGGAGAAAATAGTAAAGTCTATAGCTCTATAGTGCCATAAAGAGTGTTTTGGGGTTTTTTTTTTTTTTTTTTGTTTTGTTTTGTTTTGTTTTGTTTTTGCTTTAGAACAGGCCCTGAGCTGGCCAGAGGCCAGATCAGAGTGATTTTTCTGCATCTGAAACTGATCTGCTCTGGACCACTGCAGAGGATTCAGTAACTGAAAATACAAGGGCTTCTTCTCTCTACCAACTGTGAAGACAGCCAAGTGATAACTCTGCCCTCACAGCACTTTCTATGTTGATTAAGGATTATTTTGGCATGAAAACACATCTGAGAAAATACAGTAGTCCTATCTAGCTGCAAAACAGTAATAGTATTACAGTGTTCTTGCATTTTAACCAGAAAATGGCAAGATTTCCTTTCAGAAGACATGTACCTTTTCACTCTAGAGATAAGTATGCGTTAAAGTTGGTGATGAAGAAAAGCAGAAAAGAATATCAAAGTAACCTTTTGTAGGTAGATGGCATACTTTATAGCAGTGTATACTTAATAAGTAATACTTTATAAGCCTCCATTCTACCTGCCAGCCTTGCCTTACCCATATTGTCAGACAATTACTGCTACAAGAACATCACTAATATAGCAGCAATACATTTGTTTACACAGTGTTTTAGGATTTATTTTCTGTTTATTTTCTACATGGGGAAAATGAAGGTTTTTTTCCAGCTTTGGTTTGGAGGAAATGTGCTACTGAGATCACATACAATAATTCTGATTCCTTTTTTTTTTCTTTTCTTTTTGTGCGACTAAAATTGACTAAATCTTCTTAATAGCATTTTGGTATCTTTTCAAGTTGGAAACCATTCTATTTCTGATTAATTCATGCTGCCACACGAGTCCTAGAGCTATGCAGATAAGCTGAATGTACCACACTACAATATCTGTGTTGTAAACCTAAGGGTATTCATGGGCTTTTCAAGTGAATGCACATTCATACGTGAAGTAGGCAACACACAGTGAATGAGCTACATTATGTGAATGTGCTCAACAGCTGAAAAATGAACTATGTCATGGATTTCAGCTTCATGGAGTGAGCAGCTGAATTTGTCGGTGACACTGAAAGATTGTTCTTCTGTATGACTCAGATTGATTCACTGGTCTGACAATTCCCCCTTCTTTGTAAATCCTTCGCACCTGTAGATGCACAACACTAACAAAGGTCTAATTCTGGCAGTAAGCAAAATCCCAGCTGTTAGCATGTTGAAATAAGTGCAGCAATTTTTCTGATGTTGATGTTCCTTGCAATACTCACTATATGTTGAAGAATAGCATTAAACTGATGCATTCTTTGAAAGCCCAGTTTTAAGAACTTTATGTCAGAAAAAAATATCCATGCTGAGTTCAAAAGACTCTCAAGAAAATTATAGAAAATATATGATTCTTAGACTGTAACACTGCAAACTTGAAGCCAAATAGAATGACAATTGTCTTTCCTCTTAGCCCACTTTGTACCAAATTCTTTGCAGGATAAATAGCATCAAGCCACTAAATAAATACTATAGATTTCTCAGGAAATCTAAAGTGACAGTCCAATGTCAAACCACAGGAAAGCCCTACAGACTTTAACCATAGATTTTCTAATCAATACACCCCCAAATAAATATTAAAACCGAAACCACAAATGGCATTTTCCTTGCTGCTTGAGATATACTCTGAGCTGTCAGAATATTAAATCTGTCTGTACCCAGGTTGTTTAAAAAGACAATAGTGGCTGTAACAGAGCTAGAAATAAGGAAAAAAAGAATCTACATGAGGCTTGCTTCTGGCTAACCAACTTCTGATGTGATCCCCATTTTAACTGTAAATCAGGGTTTCAAAAGAAAAAGCGAGATAAATCATTCCACACACAAGAAAAACTCACCCGAGTTTTTATTGCAGTAGAAATGCCAACACCTAATTTTTAGCAATCATTTTATGAAAATGCCACTGAGAAACCATAAATCGTCAAACACTCCTGCACACCACAGAAATATGCAAGAACCTCTTGAAAGCACCTAGAAGTGAACTGCAGGGCCAAAGTACAAATTCAGATGAGATGCTGAAGCGTATTGCTGGTTGTATGATGATAAATTATGTGTTCAAGGTTCTTGTTTGGGATTGTAGTTCAAACACAGGAGAAAACAGAGAAGTGCTTGATTCAGGGTACAGCAGTCACCTCAGGTAACTGCAGCCTAGCCTGGAAGCCAGGCTGTTGAATTCCTCTCTGTGTGATCAGTGACGCAGCCCAAGACCAAAAATGTCAAATGCAATAACACATGATTCAGAAAAGCTTCAGGAAGGGCCCAGACAAAAAGAGCAGAGAAGATGGAAGAGGCCAGGCAAGGACAAAAGAGGAAACAAGGGAGTTTTTTTCTGGCTGCTGCCTATTCAGGCAAATCTAATTTTAAGGGCTGTGAGTTTCTTGAAGTATTACAGACTTTTTTTTTTTTTTTAATACAACAACATTTTCTTTTGAGCACACAAAGTCATAGAGAGCGTTGGCTAAATCAAATGTGTGTAGATTGGACTGTGCTCTGAATGCATATCTAGGTACATCATTGCATGTACCTAAAGAGACCCTTCCTTCAAGAAAACTGGTTTTGGAGGTACCAGCATTAAAAGTGCCTGTGCCAGCTGGCCAGCACACCATCCTGGATGAGCTGGACACATATAAAAGGGCATTTCCATCTGGGAATAGCCATCTCTGGGCAAAACTGACCCCCATTCCTTGGGCTGTGCTATCACGCTGTGGGCTCAGAAACGGGTCTGAAATGCCTCTTCTCCACTTCCAGAATGGACCTCAAGGCAAATACTTAATTTGTCTCTTCATACTTCTAAGTTTTAGGTTAAAATAGTAATTTTCAGGAGTACAAAGACGTGGAAATAATTATGGCAGCTTTTAAGTCTGTCTGAAAGACAAGGTTTGCTGCCATTTTTCTCTTTTCTCCCCTAAGTGCCAGTCACCAAGTGGAACCCTTTAATTTTGCAGAGGTACTGTACTGAAAAATACTTTGAACTAAAATTAGTAGGAGTAAAAACAGGGACAGCCCAGTAGTGTCATTTGCTTAATATAAATTGAGTCTTTTCATATCTAAATATCTGTGACCATGGCACTTTGCAATGTCATAAAGGAAAGACAAAGTGCTCCGCACACTTAAAAGTTTTCTCTCTTTAAAATCAGAACACTGCCTACTCAGTATGGGACAGTGAGTAGTGAAGATGGTAAGGAGGGTAAAGTATGAAGTATTAGTGCTGGAAGCATAATAAGAGACATCGTTAACACAAATTTAAACATTTGTTTTGAATCTTAAAAGCAGACTCTGAAAGGTGGACTCACAGAGGCAGAGTAAAAAGGTTTTGGAAAACTGAGAGGCTCCTGGTAGCAGCTCTGCCCTAAGTAAGGAGGGCAGGTGGGAAGGCATGAGCCCAGGAAATGTTCAGCCTTCTCCATCTATCTGAGACAGAATATGAGAGTAACCTTGCTGAGTAGGACCTTTGCTAAGCTCCTGCTCAAACGCTGTTATACTGCTCCTGGGCACCAGGCCATCTCTTTCCAACTGTAGCTCACTGAAGTCAGAGTTGTTAAAAAAAAGATGAAAAGGACTTCTGAGTTCTGGGACAGCACAGGGTGACAACAGACCTGATAGAAGAAGCTCATGATTGCAAGGGCAGGCACAGCTTAGGGACGTGGTCAGAATGGCAGCAGGTTGCCTCATGGGGGATGCCAATGAACACCATGAAAAAAAGGAAAAAGGACATCATCAGGCATCTAGGAGCATGGTGAAACTCACAGGAAGATGAAAAGGAGAAAAGGAGAACTGACTTCCTTGTACAAGTAATTGTTCAGAAGCCTTTCTTGCACTTTAAATAGGAAAGGCTTTTCTTTGGTTTGTTTTTTTGGTTTTTTGTTTTTTGTTTTTTTTTTTTTTTTCAGTGTTAAATGAGAGGGAAAGAAATGCATGCAAACAAGGAGAAAGGAAAGGGGAGAACACTTGCTCTCATTAGAACAGAAAAAGAAGAGCAAGAATGACAAGACCACGAAGAAGCAAAACCCCCAGCAGTCTAAGCCAAAGAAACTATAATTTCCACTCTGCCCTGAACTAGGAGCTTCATAGGATGAATCTTAGTGAAATCAAGCCTGGTTTGCACTGGAGTAGAAGGGAACAAGGCATCTTAAACCTGACCATAGCACTGGGCTTTTCAGCATGTCAGAGGAGCTGCTGCAGCTCCTCTGAGCCTCTGCTCCTTCACTCGGCTTCTCCTGCCCTTTTGGCCTGAAAAGTTTTGGGGCAAGTACCTCTGGATTCTGTGTTTGAGCAGGGTGTGGGACAGGACAGGCACCTGCATTTCAGTCCCAACTTCTTCCCTCTGGATGCTGCTGCATTAATATGAGATGAGATGGGCATGGGCATAGAAGCAAACCTGCATAAATTGTGAGAAAAAAAGCTATGGTAGCCCAACTCATTTAAATGCCAGGAGTCTTTAGGTACATTATATAATCACCTTATTTTTGGGTTTATGGTTAGGAGCCAATTTTGCTCTAATGAAAATAAAGGAGTGTTAAAGTTCAGAGGCTATGCAAATAGAGATTAATACACACTTTCAAAAGGGTTATTTAACATTTTTACTGCTTTAAAACTATAATGCTTTTTGATTTTGAACATTTTCAGGATTATTAACTTTGTTCAGCTTTAATACAAGAAATTTATATATGTGAAATGGAAAGACAAGCATGCAAAAATTATTGCAGGAAGTGAATTGCAGAGTGAGGACTGTATATGGACGCTGAAAGACTCCATGTATTTAAAGACAATCATTTTGAGGATAACGACATCTGAGTCATCATCACATACTGCATGTCTTTATGTGTCAAAATAAGAGTAACAAATGTAGTCATAAGGAAAATCTGTGTGACTGAGTAATGAAGGCTGAAAAAGACCTAATGGCTTGAATAATTATGGCTGGGAGGGTTGCTTGCTATGATAATATGTGGTTTGCCTAATGAGGAACAGGCACAGAAAAAGATTCAAGATATTGCACTGTATATTTTATACCAAAAGACTGAGGGAAGATGGCCAAAGTCGGCACGCAGGCAGACTTCAAAGAGCTTGTGGTACATACTCAGTGCGTCACAGAGAGGCACATTAGAGCTGGCAGGGTGACAGGGCATCCTTCTTCCCAGAGAGTTTGCATCTGTGGCTTCTGCAGAGCATGGCCAGTGTGTCGCAGCAGTGTGCCCCTGGCTGGGCAATAATTAGCATTGACTCTATGCTTCTCAGAAGGCTGATCAATCATTTTATTCTATTGTACTTATTAAGAAACCCATCGCCCTTACAGACAGTCACGATACAGGTGGAACCAATTGGTCCTTCAGTCCAAACACCATCACCATTGGCCATCAAGAAACCACCCTTTGGTAAACAAAACTCCATAATACATTCCACATGTTCACAACAACAGGTGCAGCAAGTGAAGATAAGAATTGTTCGTCATTCTTATCTCTGATCTTCTCACAGCCTTTTCCAGGATGATGCCTGGGAAAGTTGTGTGCTGCTCTCTGTAGCCAGAGAGCTGCTGCCACGTGGCCAGCACACTTGATTTGTGGTGTGGGGAAGGGAAATGAACCTTGGCACACCATGCTTGAGAAGATGATGATGATGATTGTCACAAGCTGCTGGCGGGACAAAAGTAAGTTGTCTTGTTCATGGAACAGTGGGAAGTACCCTAGAGCGCTGCTGGTGGTGCCTCTGCATTGGGAGAAGGTTTGATGCAAACAATGATTTTCCAGTTCCAAAATGCAAATAGGTTTGGAAAATCTGCACCTCATTTGAAGGTATTTCAGTGAGAGTTTTACTGTTAACTTCAGGAGATTAAACATTTCTTCTACAGACGTCTGTTAACAAAAATGGTGCAAGACCGAGCAATGGCTTAGCTTGAGCAACCTAATATGCCAGTTGTGAAGTAAATTATCTGCCTTAAACTCTTCAGTTAACAGAAGCAATGAACCATGCTCTAACTTCACTGGTAGTTCTCCCTGTGTAGATAATAATTTCTCTTTAGATTTCAGTGAAGTCTGTATTTTGGACCTGTGATAAGAGTGTAATGATGATTTAATTATTTTTTCTCAGTTGGATTTATTAATAACTTATATATTATATATAATAACATTATATAATACTATATATATTTCTGGAAGTCCTATAATTTAATCAACATGAAATGAAGAATAATTTCTCAGTAGTAGATTAGCACTATCTATTAATTATCACTTACTAGTGAAGAATATTAATGTTTGGGAAAAACCCGTTTTGTCCACAATGAATATAACCAAGTTTTGCACACTGTGCAGGTCAAACATGACACTGGACATCAATATTTTGAGCATTGTTGGACCATTCACAGGGTCATTTCTCAAACAGAGCCCAGGTTCACAGCTGAGAGCTGTGTCAGACAGCTGTCATGGGGCATCCCCCTCGTTCTAGCCCCCATCCTTCATCTGTCTGAGCTATGAATGGATAATCACACAAGAGAGCCTGGGTTTGTGTGTGCTTACACCCAACACCCTTTGGTTGCTGTGCTTACCTCAATGGGACTGTTAATGAAAATGAAGGTTTGCTGATCTATCTGCAGGGTTGTGTGCCTAAGGGACAGAATTTTTAATGGGAAATAAATCCAATCAAGATTTTCATACCGTGTGAGGAAGCTGTGCAGTTTGTGGAAAATAAGTGCCTTCCTGAAAGTTACTGTTATGCAAATATCAACACACAGCATACATTAAAGAAACTCTCGAATTCCAGGTTTTTGGCTTGACACAGGAAATAAAATGAGACCAAAACAAGAGGGAATAGTACTGGTCAATTTGAAATGTGAAGATTAATAAGAAGAACTTATTGCATGATTTAAGTGGAAATTTTATGGTTAACTCACTATAAGTTTTTTTAAAAGATCTCTTTTTAACTTTCTGTACCAGAACTATGATTCATTCACACAAAAAGGTTATATGAGAGGCACAATATCTTAGTTCATTCAGGCTTTCCTGTTCAAAGGAGAGAGGCTTTTGTGAGATCCACTGTTGTTCAGAGTGGGAATTAGTTTTATTCACAGTGTGCCTTACACATATACCAGCTTCCTCATTTCTTTTTTTTTTTTTTTTTCTTTCCAGTTTGTTAGCACTGACATGGTTTGGGATTCTCAGTATGAATAAAACCCATTTTCTGCTTCCAGTAGTCTCACCCCAGGATGGCATTTCCTTCTGACCAAGGATACAGGACTCCCAAAAAAGAAAAGGAGCACAAAAAAAACCCCCAAAAACAAACCAACAATGCTGTTTGTGCAGGATGTCGATGTTACCAACTGATTTAACCACAAAAATCTTCCTGCCTCATCCTTTCTTATACATTAATGTGTTGTTTTTTGCACTGAACTAGCTCGAGAGCTTTTCCAAGACCTTTTGTTCTCTTTGCTAAGAGCCGCATGGATGGTGCTAGAATTAATTCCGGCATTTGGGAGAACATTGAGGCCGTTCTCTACAAAGTGAGCCTTTATTATTCACAAATCCTGGTAGGATCATATGAAGCGTGGGGTGTCTCCCTGGTCCCTGGCAAGGAGACACAAGCAGCCACAGACAGCCTGCCCTGCTCTAGCTCCCAGGCAGCAGCAGTGGGAGCACAAGAAGCCTGAGCCCCCTCGCCGAGGACGCTGCCCATGGAACTGGTGCCCAGAATAGGCTGTAAGCAGAATTTATGTGTCTCAGCTCAAGCAAACAAGCAAGCCAGCCCTTCTTGCACTAGGACATGGTTGTGTCAGCTCTCACATATAGGTGACAGAGCTCTGTGCTGCATCAAATAAGTATCGAGCATTGGTAATAACTTGGGGTTTATCCTCAGAAGTCCAGGGGGAACTGTGAGTGACCATTTCTCTAACTGTCTGCATATGGCAGATGATAAGCTTTCTTCAAATTAATTGGAGCAAGAGCATCTATTCCAGAAGACATTAAATTAATTTTAAAATTTCCAGTACCCTAGAAACCAGTAAGCTAAGCAAACTCAGAGAACTCACATACTTAATTTGTGGCATGTTTCTCATCTGAAGTTTTCTGTTTTCAACACCTGGCACTGCCTGCTGTTACACTTTTCTTTGCAGAACAAAGAGCCTTCAAACTTCTGTTCCTTACTTTACTAATTGTAGACTGCGATCGTATTTCTTCCTTTTGCTTAAGTAAAACTGATAGGGTTTCTGGATTATTTAATTTTTTAGCATATTTTTGTGATCATATTCCTTGTCTTTTGGCTTTTTTCTTGAACACTCCTCATATTCTCAATGTCCTGCTTGACCAGGTAACAAGTAATGGATAGTCCACTGTGGCAATAATCATATTTGATGCAGGTATGATGGATGTATCCTCCTCCTCCTCCTCCCCCTTCTGCTCCTCTTCCTAGAGCCTGTCTTGATTCTACAGCCTCTGATCAAGGCTTGTTCAGACCTGCTGGTGCAGCATGAGCTATTGAATAGCAGTGGGCATATTTTAAATGCTCAGGTCATTTCCAGGATATCTCAATATACCTGCAAGATAGAGTTCTGTAAATACAACCTATACTCTGCAGTTACAGGTTTTCAATTTCATATTTGGCTGTGTTAAAATGCCCTTGGGTTTCTTCTGCTCAAAGTAGTGCATGATTTTTTTCCCCACCTGCAAGTTTCCTATTTGTGGATTTTTTTTTTGGTTCTTTCCCCAAATCACTGATTAAAATATTCAGTAGAAAAAAAAAAAAAAAAAGAGTCAGTAATTGATCTTTGTGGGACCTCCTTAGAGAGAAATCCACTCCTGAATAATTCCTCATTCACTCATGCCTTTAGGGAGCTGTCAAACAGCTTTTAATCCATACTGTAAGAGAATAGCATTAATTTTGACACTATTCATGCCCCAGTGTAAAGGAGCACGTTCCAGGACTGCCATATTTGACCAGAACAAAGTTGAACCTGCAGCTGTATTTGAGTTTTCATGGGATTCAAATAGCAAACAGCTGGCTGACCATCTCAGGCTGTTCCAGCTTGATATTTCCATGTTTTTTTGAAAAGGAAAGGCAGACTTCTTCAATGATGTGTTGCCAATGTTTTAAGTCAGAGGTCCCATAAAATGTTCCCTACTTGGTGTTATAAATCTAAATATCTAAATTAGCTGCTAAAAAAAGAAAAAGAAAAAAAAACCACAGTGAAATCTATCATTGTATCTTAATTCTTGATGTGCTTTTCTGTGATACAAGACAAAGAAGAATGACAAAAAGATGAACAGATGCCTTGGTTAGATGTAGTGCAAACAGCTATAGACTGCTCCTGTTGAATATGCTGGGAGTATTTGCAGAGCCCCCTTATGCACTGTATATGGGCTTCTGGGGAGAAGAGATGCCAAATGTTTCCTGCAGAGAGGTTTTGCTTTCAGTCTGCCAGAGCCTTTGTATGCCCTGAGCAATTCCAGCTACAAATTCTCTGCTCTCTTTAAGCAACCAGGATGCACTCCAGAAACCATCCTTTCCTGGATGGCAGAGAACTGTTACAGGGAATTATATGCTATATACTTCCCAAATTAATTATTTAGCATATTTATAATAATTATAGTATATGTATGCTGTATACTTCCCAATGCCTCCCTTGGATTTGAGGTAACACATGAACAGCTCATAGTGCTATCTCCTTCTATGCAAATCAGCAGTAAGGGAGGGGCAAGGGGAGAGGTTTTTGGGCAGGGCTCTGGCCAGGGCAGCAGGTGATGCCCTGGGTACCCTGCAGGTCTTTCTTTCTCAGCACAGTAAGAAAGTAGGTCTATAATGGTTGTTTTTAGTGCTGTCAGTTGAGATCCTTCAATGCATCACTGGGTCACCCACAACCACAGCCAGGGACAAGGGGAAAGTGGTATGAAAAAAACCCCTCTGGTTCTCACACTTTTCAGTCCATATATATTGTGACTGGGTCTCTATCTGCTAAAATGAGCAATTTTTTCTGGTGGAAGATGACACAAACAGGTGGAAGCAGCAGGGAGGGCTGCAAACCCAGCCTGAGGGTCCTGCACTTAACAGAGTGACTCCAAACCGAGTGGAAGAAGATGTCTTTCTTAGGCTGAGAGAGTCTAGCTGTCATTTATGAGAATAATTCATACCTTGAAGCACAATAATCCATGAATGTTTACATACCAGAAAAGCCCCAGATCTTCACTGAGAATGAAGGATACAGAGGCACTGTAAACTTCTTGAAAACAAGCAAACAAAATACAGGCAAACCCCACAGCATGCAAAATCCAGCACCTGGATCTAGTTGACTCAAAGATGAGCAGGCCTTTCCTTCCTCACCCAAATCACTCTCAAGATCATCTATCTTCATTCTGCAATTGTAAGACCAGCAGCCACTAACTTTGGTACATGGGAATAATTACATAAGAGGCAAATTCATCCCCTACAAAGCTGAGGGAAAAAATGACAGAAGTTTCCTATCAAATGCCCATCTTTCCTGAAAGACAGAGAAATCAATTCTATGAACCAGAATAGCTAAACATGCCTCATTTATCTTAGTCTTTCTAAAAAAAAATTTTTTTTCTCCTGTAAGAATGCAGACTGGTTCATTTGTGGAACAGATTACTATAAAATTGCAGCTAACAAAATAACCTATTAAAAATTGCCTACTGCTCAACGATAATGGACATAATTTCTCTTTGCAACAAGTGAAATGAAATTTGGCACATCAGTCACTTGTACAACATTTTTCTGCTGCTCCTATCCCACGCACTAGACACAGGTGTGTCAGTTGTGCTTCCATCATTGTTAAAAGCCTTAATGACTGACTCATTTTTCCACGGCATGTGGCGAATGTAGGCTGGACTTCTGCAGGCTCTCGGAGCCAGGGAACAGGAGGAGGCTGCAAGGAAAGAGTCTCTGCAGGAGGGCAGGCACAGGAAGGCAGCTCAAAGGGCAAGGCTCGCCCCACCAAGCTCTGTCTGTCATTTCCCCATCTTGTTTTGGCTGCTCTGTGTGACTTGCTTGTAGCCAGGCATTCCCTTTGCAAACTGATCAGCTGATGGAAAACCATGCTGACTCCAGCTAAATGCCATGACTTCTCCAAGGGAAGTGATCTCCTCCCCCTCACACTTCTATTGGCAAAGGGGGTGGCACAAGCACATCTTCTGGGACTTCAGAAGGGCTCTGTCTTTGCCTGGATCCAGATGGTTGCACCAACCCAGCTCACATAAGCCAAGGAAGAGGCAAGAGCATGCACAGAAGAGGCGCTCACAAATGCAGACAAACACGGGTCAATGTCACCATAATCTAATATCTTCTCACACAGAAAGTTGCTTAGTTGTTATGGGGAGTTTTGCATCAGTCATCACAGGGTCCCAAGAGGAACAGTGTCCTGTTTTTTTGTCCCAGGCTTCCTTAGCATCATCACCACTTTTGGAGTTTATAAGTAATAAGGCAATTATTCTTTTTATTCAGATGTTCTTGAAAAATTGCACAAGTTGGGCCAGAGTAATCATGTCCTAAAGCCAATCTCTGATTTGTAAAAAATGGGGTACTTGGATGGACAGGCAGCTACAGCAGTGATGTTTAACAGTGGCTATGAAGTCAGAAGGATCAAATATCTTCATTTTACATGGTTTTGACATAAAAACAGCTGTCTGCAAAAGGTACCAATTTTCTGACTCTTCCATGCATCTGTTGCACACCTGCTGTGGTGTTGTGGCAGGGTTACCTTGCTTTGGTAGCCAGAGGGCAAGGCTTCTCCAAACCTGCTTTGTGTGACTCATATCCTCCATGAGACTGGCATCCCCTGTGGGACTGGCAATCTCCATGCTGCCATACAGCAGGTGCCACCTGGGCAGTGGCTGGGCACAGCTTCTTCTCACCTTTTGGATAACACATCTCAGTCCATGTTGCAAGAAGCTCACTTTCAGAAAGAGGAGACAGACAGCCCTGCTTGCTTTCTGGCTTCTCTCCTGCAGCAGCAAGAATATCAATTAATATCAGCAACAATGCCAGTTAATTAGTGGTGGTAGGCTGGAGGACACTGACACCTTTTTCCTTGTATGTCCACTCAAGAACAGATTAATCCCAGGTGGGTCAACCAACTGTGTGGCAGATGGCTGCAACCCTTCCTGCTGCTCAGCTTGGCTGGGGCTGATCTGGTTGCTCAGCACTGCCCACCTTGGTGTTCAACATAACCTTTCCACGACATGGTTGTGTCAGCTCTCACATATAGATGACAGAATTCAGGGTAAAATGTTAATTTATCAGCTTATTTTTTGAGATGTAGATAGAAACCATGAACACTTATGCCATGGCTACATTTTGTCAGAAACCAATCTCCCAAAGAGTGAATTCCTTCAAGTGAAATTTCTACACAGTTGAATGGGTCAATTCAAAGTCATTACATACTAATGCTGCTGCAATAACCTATGCACCATTCTGCTTTATGATACTCAAATATAATTTCAAATAAATTTAATCTAAGGCCTCATTCATCAGTATTGATTCCACAATAAAGGCACTAGAGGCAGTCTGGGAACACGTAGGATCAGCTCTAGGCTTTACAATGCCATGTCAATCTTGTTGCACTTTCATGTTACCTCTAGACTTAGTTGTCTTCTCCTCAAAGTTAGTTGTATTGGCTCCTCCTAAGACTCCAGAGAGGGTGATGACCTCATCTTGTTCAGGTGACCAGACATGAGAAGACAAATTGCCCTGTGGTGACCCTGTAAGAGGTCCCTTTAACTGGTATTTTTATTTCCTCCAGAGATTTATTCCCTTTACTTTTAAATTATGCATTCTTGGCAGTGATATATGGGAGGTAGGCAAAGGCTGGTGCACTAGAGTTTTGCACCTCTAGAACTACTCTGTGCATCTTTGTGACAGAAGCAAGGATCAAGCTCAAAGTGTGCTGCACAGCTGCTGGAGAAATATTAGGTCTAAAATGATCTTAACTACAACTTCTCTCCAAAAGACTTTTTACTACACTTTACATGCAGCTGGTTACAGAGAAAAAACATATTTCTTTCACTGTCAACAGTGAAGAGCCAGGCTGCTCTGGCTCCAGTGTGTGTTCCACCATGGAGGGGTCAGTGGGCTCAGGGGCAGCTGACCAAAGGCTGGAAATAGTTGTGGATTCCTACCTTACCATGCCCAAACAGGTAGGAAGTTGCACCTTCCTACCCTACCATGCCTTACTGGCTGTTTGAACAGTGATCTCATCCTTCAACTGCTCTGAAACTTCCTGAGTCTAACAAGTTTTAACTACTGCAACTCCACTTCTCAGAGCAAGAAACCATGAAATTTCTTTTATATGTGTCTCCAAGAGCAAGGGCTTATTATAATGCAGAGCTTTCATTTTTTTTTAGTAGCTCTCCACCCATCTTTTCCCACAGATGAGGGTTGCATTGCTATGGGTTTCGTTTCTACATTTTGCTTGAAAAGAAGCTTGAATGCTAGGACACAGGTGGGTGCTGTGGGGGCACAACACTTTCCAGCTGGGATTGGCACATCGATCTCACCAGGGTGGTGGGTTTCATGGCTTTAAAAACCCAAAAGAAGGAGAAACCCAGCTAATGATATACTAGAGACATAGGCTTAAAATCAAGCACCAGTTATAACTTGCTTGTTAATTCATGTTCTCAGAAGGAAAGTCCTTTTATCTGGATAAGCTATACTTAACTGCTCCACTTCATAGAAATGGGAACTGAGAAGCTCTCCCAGTTGGGGAGGCACTGATGTGGGCTCACCAGCTTTCATGTGCTTCTCATTTGGCTGGTCTGAGCTACCTGCTTCAGGTGAGGGACAAGATTAATGCAATCATCCAACAAGCTACTTTCCACATGGAGAGGGTGCATCTCTTTCAGAAGGCTTGTCTCTTCAAAAGTGCAAACTAGTCAGAGCAGTGAAATCAAAATGGAATAGGCACTGTAGAAACTTTGCTTTCCTTTGCCTTTGCTCTTCCACATGCCTAGATTTTCCAGTTTTCAATGACCTCTTAAAAAAGTGGTCCAGACCTCAGAAATGAAAGTCAGCAGTGCCTATTATCACCCCTGACAGGGAGAGTGGCAGAAAACCAGTCACTATGGTCTTACCACAGTCATCTGGACATCATATCCCATGTGGGTGAAGCATCCCCAAGCTCCTGTGTCCTGCAGCCAGGGAAATAGTGAGCTTGGCTTCCTCAACATGTCTCAGTGCTGGTCATGCCACGCTTCGAGAAACAAACCAGCGAGCACCAGAAGAGGCGGAACATGAGGAAATGCGTAAGTAGTCCTTTGTTGGCTGCAGTGAATAACCGACCATACAAGATGTTCCTGTGACAATAACATTACACAGAATTAGAAGCAGGAGCTTGAGACAAGTTTAAAATTATGAGGAAGAAACTGTAATTGTCCAAACAGAGCTACTCTGCACCTGTGGGAATGCTGCGAGAAGTTTGCTTCTTCTGCTCTTCACTCACTTTTGGGTGTGGTGAAGAGCAGGTATTAGATACTGGGAATTAAGAGCAAGTATTTTTAGGAATGCCTGACTGAGTCTGTATCCAACCACATCTCTCTGTCCCAAGGCCTCCTAATTGCCAATTTTTTTTCCTACAGCTGGAAAGCTGATACAGATAGACTGCTGCTAGGTGGAGAATAGCAGATGTGTTTGCCTCTGAGCTATTGGCAGCCAAATTATGACTTGACCCGAAGACCCTTAAAAGATCACTCCAAGTTTTTCTCTTACTTGTATATGGATGCAACTACTTGGTTGAAGAAAAATTTAATCAATGAAGGCAGCAGCAGCACAAAATGTGCCATGTGAGATCATCTTCAATTGCTGTCAGGAGGAAGAAGCTGTGGGAATCACTGCTTTTACAATATTGTGATTACACCAAATACAACATTTCATTTTGGATCAATCCCAAATCAAACTATTTCTGAATTCTGGACAAACCTAAAGGATTTCCTGAATCAATTTAAATATTATATTCAACCCCCAAATGTTATTTAAATGCTTTCTTTTCATCTGGGCAAGGGGTTGTCTTGTGCATACTAGCAATGGGGCCATGGAATGTTCTATTCAGCAGCGTGGTGGAAATGGGAGGAGGATGCAGATAGACCAATGTTCTGACCTGGGGCAAAAGATAAAGGAAAGAAGGAAATATAAGTCACGTCACACTTCAGAATCATGTCCTGACTGCTGGGAGTGCCTCCCCATGCTGTGTGGTTTTCTGACTGGTGGTTGCACAAATTTTCTCAAGTTTTCTCTCAAGCAGCGAGTATTCCTCAGAATTCACAGATAATTAAGTCTAGCTGAAACAGATTTTTTTCCCTGCCAAGGTCTGTTTCCAGTTAAGACATAATTCAGAATTGATACCAGGTATGTATCTGCCTGACCGTGCCATACAGGGGTAATAGAGCCTGCAAAATGACCCCAAAGGGCCAGGATTTGTGCCTTCCCCCAGTCTTTGGACATGATTAGCCATTGTTAGTCCATAGTGTATTCATCTCAGAGCTGCAGAACCTCTTTGTAACAAAGACAAATGTATATTGTATTTCTCCAGCTAAAAAGAGATGAAGCTGGCAATTTATAATGTTGAATTGCAAGTTCAGCTGAGTTTGGTGGTTTGCAGAGCTTAATCCTCTTTATTTAAAGTTTTATTCAGTGTGGCTGCTTCATTCTGAGCAAATTTTTCAACTGACCCTCAGAAGATGGGGAATAATTTACAGCCTTTGACAGATTTGATCTCTTATAATTTTTAACTGGGGATTTGAAGATGTAATTATTTTAATGCTTTTTAAATTTGAAAATTAAACTTGCATTTATTTTATGAATAAAAGGACTAATGAGTTCCTCAGAGGGAAGGCTCTGCAATGAAATAACAGAAATGTACAGTAGGAACATAACCTTAGAGCTGGTTTGGGAGGATTGAGCCAATTCTAAGATCAAGATTGTTGCCATGTTCATTTTTGGAAGCCTCCTCCATTGATTTTTCATTTGTGTATTCATTAGACTGAAAGCCCACAAAGTGCAGTTGATAATTACCATCAATGGTCTGGTTTGAATTCTTTTCAGACGAAGCTGATAATTCAGCTAAGTATCTGAATGGCTGAGGCTGCTTAATACCAGCCTGCTATGTTGCCTTTTATTTCTTCTCTTGAAGGCCCTTGTGAAGTGAAGCGAGGGCACACGCACTGATTATCCCCAGCTTTTCTTGGTGGTGAGATGCCGGCTCCCCTGTTGAAGTCTATTGTATTTTTGCTGCGGGAAGTTTGGGCACAACAACCTTGTTTTAACAGAAATTAACGATCTTATTCTTTACAACAATACAGATTGAAAATAGTTGTATCAAGCAGCAGATCAAATGGTCTCTCCTACCTGTGACTTAGGCAAAATTTTGACCATTCACTCTTCAATAGCAGCGATGTAGCAGATAGTGCTCTACTGTGAGGTTTCCCATTCTTTAAAAGGTATAGGAAAATGTAGGGTCACCACAGGCCCTCCACTACAAAAAGAAGGTGGAAGATGATAAAAAGTTACTTCAATATCACATCTTGCAGGTTTTTGATGGCCGTTCAAGGCCAGTAATATCTTGCGCTAAGAGTTACTTTTTTTTAGACTTTAAAGATAGGGCCATCAAAATGCATAACAAGGGATTTCATGAGAAAAATTACTTGAACACAGCCCAGTCTCCTGTCAGCCCCCAAGACAAGACTCCACAAATAAAGACGTGAAAGAGGTTGAACACTCCTAAATGCTTCAGATGCAGTTTCCAGACTGTAACTAGGCTCTCATCTTTCCCCCGCCATGGTGGCTGCTTTGTGGGGGTGGGAGAAATACTTGCTGAACATGCAGAGCACTGAAGGATGCTCCTGGCTGAGACTTCTGATAAGCCTGCTGTTAGTGTGTTCTCCATGTAATTACCCACATTTAGTACTTTTTAAATGATTAGTTGAAAGTTCCCCAAAATTTAAATAAAATTAGCTTGCTAATGAAAATCAGAAACATGCAAGAACTGTGCCCTGCCAGGCATCAGCAAACACATAACTCAACATTTTGATATTTTTGACTAATGTAGCTCACAGCATTCAGAGATCATAAACACCTCAAACTTCAGACTACTCCCGTTTTGTGGATTAGAAAAGAAAGGGGATATGTCTTGTTCTTCTGATAATGTGCTAAAAATTAGTGGAAACATTTCCTTTGCATTATTTTATCACACTTTGAATCTGTGTGATTATTTTCCCCCCAGACAATGTGATAATTTTGGTAGGTTTCTGTACTGGCAGCCACAACACAGAAGGTATGGTGAAATTCACGGAACTTCTTTTGTATGAGAGCTGTCGTGCCTGAACACGTCGATTGTTATTTTTAATATCTCAGCTCCAAGACAGCTCTCGACAAAAGACAGCTCCTGCAGCACACTCAGCACCCACTCTCCCTCCCCTGGCTCCAGGTGCCAGGGGAGGTGGTGCTGATGGGGGTGAGGATGCTGTGGCAGCCGGTCTCAGGTCACCCGTGGATCCCTGTGGCTCCCCCCAAGCTGTGCCAGCCACACAGGTCCTGCTGCTGCTGCAGGAACTGGCTGGAGTGGGGGGATGGATGGAGTTTGGGATGGTTTGCCAGAGCAGATTACACCGGGGTCTGTCACAGCAGGTTCAATGAAAGCATGCCTTTTGATTTACAGTACTGTCCAGCTTTGCTAATATAGAGAGTTTCAGGCTTGTGTTGAGGGGCATATTACAACCAGATTCTTATTATAGTTTTCTTCTTAATAGAAATGAAATGTTGTAAAACATTTAATTCTCCTAGCCTGGTTATTTTTTCAGCATGGTCATTCCCAAATCACTGCATCACCGGTGACATGACTGAAATACTTCTCTTGCTTCGGTTACATTTCTCCCGAGCCCTGGCTGTGTCTGCCAGATAACTGAGGGTGCGCCAGGAGCTCTGCTGTAGGAGCTGAGGTAAGTCATATTGTGTAGGCTGAGGTGTTCTAGCTTCTGCATACTATTGCTCATGCCTTGCAGTCCTTGGAGTCACCTTGCTGCCTTACTCTACAGACTTTTTTAAGTGCTGCAGTGCTGTTTGTTACTAGGTAGAGAGCAATCCTGAAGACTGCTTTCAGGAGGAGGCTGTTGCAGCTCTGGAGTGGCAGGATCCAGACCCTATTTATATAGTTCTTCTGGTCTCCTGTCTTCAACTGTAGCTATGCAGAGAGAAGCTGTTTACTTATTTTGCATGGCTCCCAAACGTCATTTAAGTATTATTAACATGAGGGTTAGTACCTCCCAAATTTCTAATTAAGGTCTTCCCTTCAGTCTATTAGCTGTGCTTTTGTGGACATATTCTTTAATTAGTTCTGACTTTCTGACTCCAGTGCAAAGTAGTTTTTAACTACTGCCTGCAATGCCCACGAGTGGTGAGTCAACCTATTAAAAATTAAAAATCAATTTTAGTTTCACCAAATGAACCAAGTGCTATTTAATCTTATTTTCATTATCACGATGCCTGAGAATCCAGGTGTTGGATAAAGCTTTACAAACAGGGAGCAAAACCAGCCACATCAACAGGCCCTGGGTGAGGGAGGGGTTGTGCCCCCATAACCATACCAGACCCTTATCCCAAGGAAAGGAGGGGATGTATAGTAGAAGGAAATACAAAAGTGGACACCTTGGTAGGATGGGGATGCTGAAATACTTAGGTTTTGATGTCTGCCCTGTTGTGATGCTGACCTGGCCCCACCTGGCAGCAGCTCTGGGGGAAGGAGACCCCACAGATGCTTCCCTTCCTGGTTCTGCCACTCTGAAAAAATGATGTGTTTTTTCACAGCATTGGGGAAAACATCTTAGAGACTTCAGGCAGCAAAACCCTGAAGATAATGGCTCATCAGAAGCTCAGGCCATTTTTATCTGGGTCCATACTCACATTTTGAAGTCACACCTGTGCACTCAGCCCATAGACATCCAGCCTGGGTCCAGTGCTTGCCATGGTTCCTATCCTGGATGTGACAGAAATGTGGGGTATCACACATCCACTCCCAGCTAATGACCACTGCCCACAAAAAGCCATTCCCACTAGTCCTTGTACCCCTGCTAATGTTCTTGTACCCTTTCAAGCAGCTAAACTGGCAGAAAACTCCCTTTCTGCTGTTGGGGAATGGGACAGGGACATGACTAAGCTTGGGCCAGGGAGAACCACCATTGTCTCTTGCAGTGGCTGCTATTATTTAATGAACTGTAATGAGTAATGTGTGCACACCAGAGTGTCCAGGGGGATCAGAGGGGAAAGGACACCCACCTGGAAAAAGGAAGAGCATGACTCCCCTCGAACATATCTAGATTTGCAGCCCTCAGAAAAGGAAAATTTTGAGGCACAGAGTTGTGATTGGGCCCTTTGTTCATGCAGCCACGATCAGATGCACACTGGTTCAGAAATCTGCTCAAAGCCACTTGCAGGATCAAGGCCTTTCTTTGTAGCCTCTTGTAGACCAAAGATGGTCTCTTTTTCTAAAATGCTTCATGTTCCTGCAGCCTGTGCAAAGGGAGGAGATTATGCCAGCCCTCTGAAACATTCCTGTGAAATTTTTTTGCTCAGACTTGGTGTTCACCTTTGTGCTCAGGCTTGATTTTCTAAGTGCGTGCATAATTACTAATGTATTCATAAAGAGTATTTCCCATGGTGTCAAACAACTCTAAATAGATACCAGAAAAAAGGGTCAATCCAACCACTGTGCATAAAAGGTGAAAAAAAATATGTAAAAACAGGTCAAGAAGAGTATAATTATGTAGCATCTTTTGAAAAAGATTCATATATAATTTTGGGTATATATTTCAAAATTAAGAAAACCCACAGACCTTACTGATTCTTTGTTAACTAGAACTAAGGATAAATTATTTTCACAAATCTAAATATAATAATTCTGTTATTTATATAATTTAAAACATACTACAGCACAGCTCTTTGAAAATAGTAAATTATTCACAAATATTGACATTGTTTGTCAAAATTTCATACTTGACAGTTTGCCACAAGTAGAAGAAAGCCAGTATGGCCTAAAGTGTTTTCTGGACCATGTAAATTTTCTCCAAGTGTTTTTGCTTTTGATTTAACCGAGTAGAATCTGAGTGGCAAAAATTATGCAGTACTAAACTATGAGGTGCTGGGAAAGAAGTCTTAATTCCAGGGCTTCTACTGTAATTTTGGTTGAATTCTTCTGCGAGGATCATGGCCAGTAAGAAAGGAGGACTTTCAGAGCTCAATTAACAGATTGAAAGAGGGTATAAAGAGGAGTTAAAACGCATTTGCCATTGGAGAATGTTTTGGATGAAAGAACCTGGAGCTGGGCCTGACTAGGTGTAAGAAACAAAAACATAATGCAAGGATGATTGAACAATGGGACAGGTTGCCCTGACAAGTTGCGCAGTGTCTGTAAATGGAGGCTTCCACCATCCAGTAGGACAAAGTAACATGGTCTGAAGCCATTGCTGACCTAGTTCTGAGCCGTAAGTTGGATCTGAGATCTGACGACCCTTCCTGTCTGAGTGACTTGGCACTTCAGACTGAATGGGTCTACCATAGCCTAAAGTGAAGTGCCTTCACAGCAAAACCTCCAGTCCCAAACACCTGACAATGCCTGTTTGGAGTTCACAGGTCTGGCTGCCTCAGAACAGCCCAGAAGTCATGACCAGGGCAAGGGAACTCCATCCCTCACCAAGTCAGGATCTGTTCATGGCAATAGGAGCATGAACATCTGTAGGACCTGTGTGTTCCATTGCACCTGTTCCCCTGCCTAAAATGGGCCTTACCCATTTAGGTCAGACCCAAAACCTAAAGGAGTACTCATGGAAAACATTTCCCTCCCTGCACTGATGGGGAAGAGCCTCCAAGAGAAGAGACAAAAGCAGAGGAGAGGCTGACAGGCCTGTGTTGGTGTCTCCCCCTCTCAGGAAGCCACCTCCCTTGGATGGAGAATACAGCCCCTGGGCTCAGGGCCCCTCATTCTGGTTCTGACTTTGCTCCATTCTACCTTGGTTGGTTTTCATGGTCTAGCACCTGAACTACTGGGGTCCACCCACACAGCAGACACCAGCTGGGGATCACCCGTGATGCTCAGGTATTCAAGGTCCTCCATCTTTCTCAGCTCAAAAGGAAAATGTCTTCACATGCTGGCATGTGAACTCAATGGCACATCTATGGTTCAGAGGTGCCTAAAACAGCCAGTCACCAGGCAGGAGGATATATGGGGACCACTGCCCAGTTCTATCTTCTCAGCATCCCAATGTGGCTGCCAGGGACAGGGCTGTTTGGAGGCTCTAGTAAGGCTCTGTGCAGCTCTTCTTCTCTTTGACACTGCTGGAAAAGCACAAGGCATGATGGGCATCTGGACCCAGAGGTGTTATGCTGCCTGGTACATGTGAGGGATGACCCCCAACATCCCAATAAGCACCAGGATCTCTGCAGCCAGGACTTGGCTTAGCAGACATCAAACAAGCCCCT